CAGAGGAGAAAATACACTCATAATGGGAGATATTAATTACCCCCAGATAGACTGGGTGGGTGCCATGTCAAAGAATGATGCAAAGACAGTATTTTTAGCCTTGAATGGTTCTTAGAATGACCTCTCAGAGGCACCAAGTGGAGAATGAACTCTTGAGTTAGTCATGGGTAGTGCATGGGAGGCAGTTAGAAATGTAAGAGTGAACAGTAACTCTGTCATAGCAAACACAATGTGCTCAAATTCATCACTGCCGAGAGGAAAAAGCGAGAACAAAAGTACTACGCAGTGCAATGCAACTGAAATAAAGGAGATGGGTACATTCTCCCTCAGAAGGCAACAAGTATAAAATTTGGGAAATAATTTAAAAGGATTTTGAAGTAGCTGATGAAAGGACAAAATGCTTATGAGTGACACCGAGACCCTGTGTTTAAAGTTTCAAATATGCCATCAGTCAAAATATGCTAACGAAGAATTATCTCCAAATATGGCACAGATGCACAGCTGAGTGAAGAAGGCATTCTGAAGTAAAAAAGACATCCTTCAACAAGCGTAAGTTGTGGCCAAAGATTAAGCAGAGAAAATCCCAAATTCTGGCAAGTTAAATAAGATACCCGCCACACATTTAGGCCAGCCAAAATCGTTTTCGAACTGCAGCTTGCTAAAAACAAGATGCTTGCTAATAGAAACATGTTTTATGCAGTAGGAGGAAGGCTACAGGGAACAGAGGGCCCAACAGCAAACTTTGAGGGAAGGACAGCCAAGAGAGGCAACTTCACCAGAGCCTACAACTAGGAATTAGCTGCTAGCCAAAGCAGCACGAGGGAGAGCGAGCAAAGACAAAACTGAGCCCGCTGCTTCAGCAACCTTGCTCCTGCATGGAGATGTTTAGAGATGTTGATAGAGATGGGGATTAAGGGAGCAGCTGTCCGTAGCAGCAAGTGATGCTGGCTGCTGTCACCCCTTCCCCCGGTTGCTACTGGCACTCCGGAGATCCTGTCCCGCTCTGACCTACTCCTTTGATCCAGGCCATTAATAGCACTGCCTTCTTTGGAGTCTGACTCCAGCAGCACCCGAAGGACACTGACTTATTCATTGTTCCCTGATGGCAGCTACAGTTCACGGCCAGACGCATCCTGCAGGTCCCTTTAGTTACATGAGATAGTTGGCAGCACCGTGCTCCTGTCCACTTGTGAAAACGGACCAAAGTGGTCTGGCTGCCCCATAGCCAGGCTTCAAAGCCTATGGAAGCTCAAGCACAGTCTGAGCTAGTTCCTCATGCATTTACTCTGCATTTTCCCAGAAGTTATGATCTTCTATCGTACACTTAACTCATATTTTTAACCCGCCAAGTGCCATGACCCTACACTAAACTCAACCAGAGGCATTAGAAGTGCACACTCCATGTCCCAGTGCTGGGCTGCATCCTGAGGTGCCACAGAGAGACGTCATCTGGTCCTTACATCTTCAGAGCACAGCACCACGTGTGTGCTGTGTGCACCTCAGGAGACCTGACTCACACTGCCAAGCACACCCTCTCAAGCTGCATGGCCTGAGCTGCTAACCTTGCTTCTTTAAGCCTGTGCAACCTTGTGGTAGCAAACAAGTGTCATGCGGGAATCCCTTTGCCCCCAGGTGCTTGGCAGAGAGCTCCTTTCTTCAGGACAAGTCCCAGCTGTCTCTAGGTAACAGCACAAGTGCATTTTTTGCCGCTTCTCCACACGCTTTCTGTCTCTAAAAATAAGCTGTTTAAAGATGCAGTTCCCAGTGCTCACCTGGGAATGCAGCCTGTCCACGAGTACCGATAAGATCACGATTTCACAACCTCACAGCTCACCTCCTGAGCGAGCCTTCCAGCCACACTCAGTTCACCCCACGTGGCATTTTCCTACAGGCTCGTGGAACTCCACAGCATCATGCCAGGCAGTGCTAAGCCCATTTGTCCCAGCAGGCTATGGCTCCGTTGTCACCTAAGCAGCATCTTCTCAGGTTAAACTAGAGACACCATAGCGTGGTCGTGTCCTGAGAAAGGGCAGCAGAAGGGCCCTGGCTGGGTCTTCTGGGGCTGGCTGCACACCAGGCATGGCCATGAACATACACTGTGCTGTCTCTAAGGCTACAGGAAGAATACAGAGCAGAAATTGTGCAATTATAGGAGCCTTTAATTTCCCAGTGAATGCCAGGCAATAAACAGCAGCAGAATGGCAGGGCTCAGGTATCCAACAAAAGAGAAGGCAAATTTCCTTATCGATTTATCACGAAGTGAAACATAACGTTATTTCAGCTGTGGTTTTAGCAAGCAATAATGTTGCCCTGGGAGCTCTGCAGGGAGGAGTGGGCACCCAGCAACACACGGAGAGCGCTGCGGAGGGGAACCAGTCACAGTCAGAGCCCAGCAATGGGTTTTACCATCACCCAGTGGTGACACAGGGAGCAAAACTCAGCAAAATGTCAGAGGGAGGACATTTGCTGGAAACTGAAGAAATGGAAACACTGAAGGATGAATGTGAAACAGCAGTGTGGTTCTCTGAAAAAGGAATGGCGTGATGCTCAGATGCATCAGACAAGTTATTTTTAGCAGAGACAGAAACATTACCACCATTGCATGAGGCTTTGGGAGACTTCTTCCAGAATATCCTTGCAGCTCTGCATCCAGGAAGGATGAGCTCCACTGCACACAAAGGCTGTGAGCTGCGTGGATACTGAGACAGACCAGCCCCAGCTGACGGGCACACAGCCCGTGCTGCAGCTCCTGGCCAGCCAGGTGTCCTGAAGGAGGTGCTGCTTCAGCCCCAGGCCTCCAGGCTTCTGCTGGTCTATGTGAAGATAAAGAAATAATCATTTCCTTCTTAACTAGCTTCTAAGAGTGCTGAGGTATTCCTTCTTCTGAAGCACTAGAGACAGTGCTGGACCTCATGCCCCAGTGCTCTCAGCATTACACTCCCAGAGGTCTGCTCACATGAGGCTTAGCACTACTGCCAGATTAGGGTCAGGAGGGAATTTTCCTGGACTGATAAAAAAAAAACCCAGCGGTTACATTTTCTGAGAGTTTTACTTTTTTCTTTTCTTCTTTTTTAATACTTCTCCAACTTCGAGACTATTTCCTACATCCTGTGCCATTTTTCTCATAAATTCCTTGCTACCACCAGACAGCAGATCTGTTGGCCACTCGCTCCTTGCTTCCTGGGACATTACAGCTGCAGACTTTTCTATAGGACTCAGGAAGCATTAGCAATACCTGGTTAGTAGCTGGAGCAGGCACTCGGTTTAGAGGCACCTACAATACATCCATTGCATCCTTACACACAATTGCTTATGGGATGGCCCTAGAGGACTATCCCAATGTGAGCAAAAGTACACAGGGTGTCTGCAAGCAGCTGTAGGAGGGAGCATGGAAATGAACCTCTCAGCTGCACGGATTTAAAGCACACACAACTCTTGGCTGTCCACCAGGGCCAGAGGGGGATTTGGAGTGAGTGGTGTAGGAGAGCAGGGATGCTGGAGCCGTGGAACAGGATGAGCATCCCCTTTCAGTTCTTGGGGGGACTTCTGAGCTTGGGGAGCGGAGTCAATCTGAAGCCCAAGGGCTGGGATCCCAGAGGAGGGAAGCTGCGCAGACCATGAGGGGTGCTGCAAAGTGTGGTTGGTGTCTGTGTGTTTTCATGCTGAGCATCACAAGTCAGGCCCTATCAAGCTTGCCCACCCCCCATGGTGATGTGGGTACTTGGCCCTGGCCGACCCACGCCCCCCAAGGCCCCAAATAACCTTGTCTGAGGAGCCTTTGCCACCAGCTGGGCAGCAGGAAAGCACCTTTCTGCAGCTCTCACAGCCTCCACAACAGACTTTAAATCAATAACCCCAGAACACAGAGCCAGGTTACTGCGAACGGAAACCATTAAACTGCAACGCAGGAGGATAAAGCCAGCCTCCAGCACTTGAAAGATTTATAGGGCACAACAGCAGGGTGTTAATTCTTTTGGCAACACAAACGCTTTCACACCCACTGCTTTCCCTCAGCCACAGGAGCAGGGAGAGGGGACCACGTGCAGCCCAGGGATGTGCATGCAGGGTGATGCTGTGCTCATGGGGCTGCCTGAATGCCCAGCAACCATGGGGGCTAATTCCCTCCTGGCCCCATAAGGCTCTGCTACACACATCTGATTGTGTCCAAAGCCCCTCACTCAGCAGGGTGCAAAGGCCAGCCAAGGGCTCTGTAGAGCTGCATTCCCATTGACACCCCTCTGCATACAGCCACCTCCTCAATTTCTTCCCTGAGCAAAGTCCAGGGCCAGGCAAGCAGGGAGACCACGTCAGAGCTTCACCCCACATACCTGGGTTCCAGGAGGACCCCCACCCAGAGCTAAATCAGGGCTCATGCTACCCAGGTTGCAGACAGGAGCAAGGCTGTGCCTCTCCAAAATCACTGCACTTCCCAGAGGCCCATGCACATAGTGGTGGATCTTGTGCTCTGCCCATCACCCCCATCCCCTGTAGAGTGCAGATGGCTGCAGCCTCTCTGCAGTCACAGCTTCTACTTCAATGGACAAGGTATCAAACCACTCTCCCAGTGAGCGGGAGGACGACCAAGCAGCAGTCTGGAAGGGGACACATCACCATCCTCGCACACGTGGTTCCCAGTGCTGCTGCCACGGTGGAGGGCTGCAGCCCCAACATCCCATTGGAGCAGCTGTGGATGGGGATCTTGTACTGCCCCTGCGTGGCCACCACGGGAGGTGCACGTGGTCCCAAAACCTACAGATAACCAGAGGCTGAGAGAAAGAACCTGTTCACCCCATGTTAGGCCATTTAGGGGCTAACACAGGGACTTGAGTGCCTCGGCGACCCCCATCCTGCCCCACTTCCCAGACATCCCAAACCCAAGGAGCGCACAGTGTTAAAAGGTACCTATGCCCTTTCCTGTCCGAGGGCCAGACCCAAAGAGCCTCCTGCCCACCTTGAGCACTCAAGGGGCCACACCAAGGAGGAGACAAGGCAGAGCTGGGTTTGGGCATCCACATTTATTACACGGCTCGGCAAGCCCGAGGCTGCCACTCACCTAGGCCCTTTCAATTGATGGGAAACTGCCCGTCCTCCTTAAATACTGGTTATAAAACAAATTTTTTTCCTTTTTCTTTTTCTTAAAAACCTCATCTTTCTCTCCATACTTTTTTTGTCTTTTGTATTTGAGTATAAAAGTGGGGGCGGGCGCTCCGCCGTGCTTGCTGCTACCTCCGCAGGCTGCGCTGTGCCTGCCGCAGCAGCGTGTCGAAGTCCAGCGAGTCGAACTTGCTCTTCACAGGGGCTGGATCGAAATCCTCTCGGTTGGAGTCTGAAAGATATGGGAAGAGCCTGCCCTGAGCCATAGGGATGACAGCACAGGTCTGGCCATCCAAAATCAGTGCTGGGCTGGGAGAGAATGCAGGGAGGGATGGGGCTGGGGGGGATCCAACCACCCACCCAAAGCACGTGGGAAGGAATGGATCTAGGGTGCAACTCACCCAGGTCGGCGTAGTTCCTCCTGCAGAACTGCCGGCGGCCACCAAAGCACAGATCAAAGGGCTGCTCATCTGGGCGTCGCAGCTTGTGCCCGCTCTCAATGGCAGCGAAGGCCTCCTCAGCATAGCGATAGGTGACAAAGCCGTAGTTGTCCCTGGAAGCAAGAAAGAGATGAGCATGGGCACAGTCACACCATCCTCTTGAGGAGCTGGGGAAGACCAAGGAGAACCCTTACCCCTCAGAGCGGAAGTGCAGGGTGCACTCCTCGATGTCCCCAAAAACTGAGAAGCGGTGCCGCAGTTCCGATCGTGTCATCCTGCTGGGGATCTTGCCAATGAACACAACTCGCCGCTCCTCCTGCGGGCAGGGGCATCGTCCTGTGAGCTGATGATCTAAGGAGCCCCAGATCCAGCTTCCCAGCCCCACAACACATCCAGCATTTACAGAATCATCAATACTGGAAAAGACCTCTAAGACCATCTAGTACAATCGTTGACCCACCACCACTGTACCCACTAAACCACATCCCTAAATCCACTCACTATTGCACGTTCCTTCTGGAGGATCCTCTGCCTTTGGTAGTGGTCCTGTGCATCATAACTGTATCTGTAGAGCAGAAAATAAACTTGTGAGCTATAGGGTTGAGGAAGATGTTGGAAGAGAGTGATCCCAGGAGCAAGACACAAGGGAGATGCCTAAGGAATAGGCATTCTGTGAGAGGGACCACACTCACCTTCTTCGTCTGTTACTCCTCCTGCAGGGAGAGGGCGAACGGGAGCGGGACTGCCTGCGGGATGGGGACCGGGAGGAGTAGGAGGATGAGGAGGAGGAAGAGGAGGACCTGTCTCGGGACCTGCCACACGACCCACAGCTGGAGCGGGAAGACGAGCTGTGGGAGCATCTTGAACGGTACCTGGAGGGAAAAAGAGAAAACTCAGCACCTGTGTCCAGCACCACGAGGCTCTGGGGAAGCAAAAGAGCTCCATTCTACCAAAACACCCAGCACGGCACATAGACAGGACCTATCAGTATTCTCAGGGTGAGCCTGGCTATAGAAACATCTGCCCACGTTTGCCAGGGGGTACAAAGGTGCTACTCCAAACCCCACAGCCTAAATGGAATAGGATCTCATCGTACAACCTCTGAAGAGCAAGATATGGGTATACGGGAACCATTCAGCATGGCTGCAGCCAGGTAAGGATCCAGAGAATGTAGAGCTGCTGCTGCACTGAACTCTACATGGCACACAATGCTAACAGAGCCACTGCACCTGCACAGCACCCAGCAGCCACCCCAGTCAAGAGCCGAGTGCCTCCAACCATGCACACCACGGGCCATGGCATTCACCCACTCCAGGCAAAGGGGCAGCACCCCAAACCCTCCAGGGCCAAGCTGCACAGCCTCCAGTCAGCAGCGAAGTGCACACACTGCCCACAGCTGGCCCCTGCCATTGACAAACCCAAGACCCAAGGCCAAGGACTGCCACATAGCTCTTGGGGGACAGCAGGTCAGGCTGGCATCATCCATAGGGACACTGCCCAGTATAATGTTCAGGAAAAGGGGGCAGAGGGAGTCCCAGCCCAGCTGGGTTGAGTGGCAGGGACACATCCTTGCTACACCCAGATGCACAAAGGCTCCAAAGACAGTTACCCTGCAGATGCCTCGATAAGGAGTGCGGGGAAGCAGCAGAACAACAAACCCAGATGGGTTGCTCCCCTGCTCGCCCCCAGCAGCTGTGCCTGCAGCTTATCTCATTCCTACATTTAGGGTTGCACCAGTACGAACACCTGCATTAATCCCAGAGAAAGCACCCAAAAGGCATAACCAAGGGCTCACATGTGCGCTAGTACATGGTGGGGCTCCAGGAAGGGCAAGGAGGCCTTGCCCAGAGGGAGGACTCAGACACCTCTAACTGTTTAGCTGCTCACCCCTTCAGAGGGACCACAGAGAAACACCTTTGCAAAAGATCAGGCAACACCCAAAGAGCAAGTCGACACCACTCTGCCACTTACCCTCGCCACCGCTTGGGCGGTGGGGACAGTGACCGTGACCGGGATCGGGAGGATGAGGATGATGATGAAGACTCACTAGCTCCATCCGAGCTGGAACTGAAGGAGCGGCTGGCCCGGCTGCGGCCGGCCCTCCAGCTGCCCGCAGAGGGGCTGGGCGAGTCCTGTGGTCTCCGGTAGCAGCGCAGGGACTTCTTGGCAGCGACACGGCCAGGCTGGGTGCTAGGGGTCCACACCTCCTGGTCCCGGCAGGGAGATGCAGCTGGGGACAGGAGCACTGAGGTGGCGGGGCTGCCACCCCCAGTGACGGCCTTGCTGGGGACGCTAGTCCGATAATCCAGGGGGGTTGGGCAGGCAGCCCCCGGGGACTCCTGGCTGGGCCCCACTGAAGTGGTGGGGGCCGGCTTGGGCTGGTCCAGCGTCCGTTTGGTTAAGGAGGAGATGGGCTTGATGGTGATGTCCCGGTGGTGTTTGACGTTCCAGCGGGAGCCGGTCTCGGTGGCAGGGGGCTGCGTGCCAGCAATGCTGCTGTTCTCCAGGCGTGTTGTGCGTGGGATGCAGTAGTCATGGTCACCTGAGCAGACGTGGCTGGGGGCTGCGCTGCCAGGTGCTGGGGTCCTCCCCTGGAGCTTGCTCTGGGGCAGGGGTTTAGGTTTTGTGAGCTTGATGGTCCTCTGACTCCCTTCCTGAGGTGCCGAGACAGGTGACTTGGTCTTGGCCAGCAGCGAGACAGTGGGCAGCGGTTTCCAGAGCTGGTGGGGAGGGGTCGCCGGGGGGGTGAGCCCTGCGAGAGTAGCACAGAGCTGTTAGGAAGGGGATCCTGATGAAGAAAAGAGGAGCACCCCTCATTGCAGTCCACCTGGCTGGAGACCTCACCGAAGCTCCCAGCTCCCCTCAAGCCTTGGGTTCCCCTCCAGGCAGCTCCCAACCCCACAAAAGCCCATGATAAGGCTCCAGGTGCTCCCCTCCCCTCTCCTGGGCATCACCTGCCACGTTGGCCAGCTCCGAGGCCTGTAGGCTGTCCGGGGGCTTCCTCTCTGGCTGGGGCTCCGACCTGAGAAGGGGAAAGGAGCTCTGTAAGAAGCAGCTGCCTCCAGATTCTGCTCTCAGGGACACTCATACCCACCCAAGCTGCCTGAATAGGAGGTACACAATATCCAAGAGCTGCAAAGACAGACCTTGCAGATCCCAGTCCTACAACACTCTGCCAGGACTGAACAGCTCAGGGCTGCCCCAGGGCTCCATGCTGAGGGGCACAGAGAACCCTGTACTCACCCAGCACTCCTCGCTGGCCGCCTTTCCTCAGGGGGCTGCACCGGAGCCTCCTCCTTCTTGGCTGAAAAGAGAGTGGGTGGGTGAGAGCAAAGCTGGAGGGCAGCAGACAGACTGTGAACATGAGAAAGGTTTCAAGGCATCCTGGCTCTCTGTAGAACTTTCGCCTTTTCTTTCCCCACTTTTCTTCCATCACCATCTCCTCAGCTGCCCCAGAGATCTCTGAACAACTGACTCAGGACAAAAAGGAAACACAGGCAGAGAAGCCCCTGGACAAGGTACCACCACTTTAGGAGCACATGCAGCACAAGGACACAGAAGACCCTACAGGGAACAACGTGCTGCATCCTCACCTTCAGATTTCTCAAACTGCTCCAGCAGGCTGGACAAGTCGGCAGCTTCGATCCCTGGACCAGGAGAGAGCACAGGTCAGTTTTGCCTCCACCCTCTTCCCCTGGGCACACTTCAAGCTACAGCAGCTTCAGTGCCTCCCACAGCAGGGACGGGAGCTCTGCAGTCCCAAAAGAACCAGTTCAGGCACAGTAAAAGCCTAGGCTGCAGGCAATGAGGATTTACAAGACTGTCAAACACACTGGCCAAGCCCACAGACACAGCTTTGTCACCCTCACCCCGCTGCAGAGAAGCAGCTGGAAGCAGTCCCTGCAGCCCCCCACTCACCAATCTCACTGATGAAGGCCTGCACAATGTCCTGGTTGCTGTCGCTGGGCTGTGCAGGGCTGATGAGTGGTTGGTGCCTCCAGGGCCGTGCAGCGGGCGGCTTGCTGCTCTCCCGGCATGGTTTTGGTGGCAGTGCTAGAGGCTGGGTGATGGGCTTGTGGCTGGGTGGCTCCACTGGGGTCTTGTCCACCGGGGTCTTGGCTGGCCCCACAGCCTCCTCTGTAAGGTAGGTGCCAGGGGACCCCCCAGCAGGGACAGCAGCAGCTGACACCTCTGCAGGAACGACAGCCAGGGGGGCCTTTGAGAGCTGGATGGGTGCTGCAGGTGGGAGCTCCTCCAAGGTTTGGGTGGGAGCAGGCACATTTGGAGCTGGTGCTGCAGGAGGGACCATGCTGGGCTGGGCAGCAGCACCCGACGGAGTTACTAGTGGCTGGGTGGGGGCCAGGGCTGAGGGTCCCTTGGGGAAGGAACTCTCCACCACCAAACGTGCCTGCCTCTGAGGATTTAACACCCTGCTGACCCCTGGTCTGGCCTGGCTGCCTGCAGTCCCCATCTCACTGCCTGGGGATGGCTGCACAGGGATAGCTGGCAGCTCCGGGGCTGGGGGAGACTGCCCATGCAGGAGGGCTGTGCTGGGGCGGCCACCAGCCGGGACCGAAGAGGCCGCTGCACCCTGCAGTGCAGGATCACCGTATGCCAAAGGAGGCACTGGAGGTGGTGGAATGGGAATGCCTGGCCAGTAGGATGGGGGGGCCCAGCCCATGGGGCCATAGGGGCCACCGGGGATGAAAGGTGGGGGGGGGGGCAGGGCCGGCGGGGGCCAGGACATGGGTGGGGGTGGGAGGCCAGGCACCATGTGGAAAGTGCCAGGGGGCCCAGCGCCAGGTGGTGGGGGCAAAGCGTGGCAGCCCAGGGGCTGCGGACCAAAGCAGGGCCAGGAGGGCACAGATGGATACACGGTATAAGCACCAGTAGTGGCCGGTGGTGGCATCCCAGGGGGAGCTGCCCCAGCAGCTGGGGGCATGGTAGGTGCAACAAAAGGTACTGGTGTCACTGGAGGAGGTGGGGCTGAGGCAGGTGCTGGAGCTGGTGCTGGAGCCGGGGCTGGCGCTGGAGCTGCAGGTGCTTTGCTGGCAGGAGGAGGCCCAGCAGGGGAACTCGCTGATTTCTCCAGGCTCTTCTGAGCCCTAGGTGTTTCAGTGGGTGGGCGTGCAGGTGCCACCAGGCAGGGAATGTCTGCCAGCTCGGTGGGAGGCTCAGGGACACTGGGCCACTTGCTGGCTGCTTCCTTCTTGCCCTCCTTCCCACTGCCCATGCTGGACTGGCGGTGCTGCATGCGCATGCGATACTCCCTTAGGCTCAGGGCCTTGGGCTTGGGCTCCTTGGGCAGGGTCTCATTTGGCTCTGCTGTGGGCACTCTCTGGGGGGGCTCCATGCCTACATCCTGCTTCGGCATCTCAACATCTGGCTGTTCAGCCCCTTTGTCCTCCTGCTCCACCGCGCTGGGTTGCTTCGCTGCTAGTGGCTCCTCTGTGGTTTTCTCCACAGGCACTGCAGTCTCACCCTTCTCCAGCACTGTGCCTGTCATTTCTGGCTCCAACTCTTTTGGCAGCTCCGGGGGCTCCTTCGTGGGCAGGGAGGTCCCTGCCATGCCCCGGGGGCGGCCACGTGGCTGTGGTGCCCGCTCAGCATGCAGCTCCATCTGCCCCTCCTTCCGTGCTTGCTCCAGTTGCCGTGCCAGGAAGTCAGAGACCTGCAGTGAGGGCCGTGCTGCCCGCCGTGACCTGCCTGAGCGCAGCCGGTGTGCCATGCAGTCTCTGCCTGGCTGGCCCTCCTGACTCGGGCCTTCCTCCACTTTCTTTTTCCTACTCTTCCTTGCTCTCTCACGGCCACGTCCCTTCTCACAAATCTCACGCTTGCTGCTCACTGCAGTCTCCACAGGGGTCTTGCTGTCCAGGGCTGTGCATGAGGGCTCCTGCCCAGGTGGTTTCTCCTCCTCCATTCCAGTTTCAGGTGCTGGATCTCCTGACATCTCCTCTCCGTGCACTGGGATTGACTCTGCGTTGCCCTCTGTGCCCAGTAGCTGGGGCTCCAGGTCAGGGAAGCTGGGGGCCAGTGACTGCAGCACCACAGGGATCTCCATGTTCTCACCTTCCCTGGGTACGATCTCCAGCACAACAGGACCGCTCAGTAGCTCCTTGGCCATGGGCTCGCTCTCAGGGTCCACACACACAGTGAAGGTGGGCAGGCAGTAGGGGTGCATGGACTTCACCAGCTCACTCAGTGACACATCACCTGTGTTGATGACACAGGGGTCTTCGTGCTCCTCTGCCACCACCTCGGGCACACTGATGGAGAACTCTGCAGCCTCCAAGCTGCTGTCCAGCTCCGGGCTGGAGGCAGCCTCCTCATCTTCCTCCTCCCCATCACTACGCTGCAGGGGGAGCTGCTCATGGGCACGGGGCCACCCCTGCTTCCTCTCCACCCGCGGGGTGCTGCAGGTTTGCTTCTTTGGTGGTGATGGGTCCTCCAGGCTGTGAGCAATGCAGTCCCAGGCCAAGTCCACATCAGTCTGGAAAGGGGAAACCAGAGCTCACGTCAGCTCCCACCACTTACTCTCTCCCAGCTGCACTTGGGTCATCACCACCCCTGAACCAGCTCTCCTTGCTCACCTTCCCAGCTTCAGCTATGCTGCCACCGCTGCTGAGGGACCAGAGACCCTTGGGCTGCTCCAAGGCAGGGCTCTTGCACTCAAGAACTGGCCGGGATAGGCTGAGAAACTTCTGGAACTGGCGGAGAGATGGATGGAGGATGATGCATGGAAGGTACAGAGCTCCCAACAACGTTCTCACCTCACCCCAGGCTGGCTGTGCAGACTGGCATGGAGCTCCTGAGCCTCCTGTGAATATCCCACCCTACCAAATGCCACACCTGAAGGCTCAGAAGGGCATTTTAAGTTGAAGGAGAGGCCCCACCACTCACCGAGGGGTTCTCCCGCTCCCGCAGCGAGGTCAGCAGCTCTGTGTCCACAATGGTGTCAAAGGGGGACAGGGTCTCATCATCTGTGCTGTCCAGGATCTCCGTGATGGCAGTGAGCAGGGACAGCTCATTCTGTGCATCCAGGCAGGCCTTGCCCTGCAGGAAGAGCGGGTGCTAGCTCAGAGGACACTAGGGCACAGCTGTGGGGCAGCAGGGCCCTAGAGTGGCCCAGACCACCACCATTCACAGGGACCCACCTCACTTAGGGACAGGTCCTCGATGATGGAGATGACGGAGGAGTCAAGGTAGTTCTGCATTGTCCCCAGGATCTCCTCAGCCTCTGGGATGGCTTCTGTATCCAGCGACAAGTTCAGGTCATCCTCCTCAAAGGAGAAACACTACGGAAAGTGGGGTAAAATGGATCAGCACTCCACAAACCATTACCACGCACCTCTGAATGAGCAAGAAGGTCAGAGAGCACCACAAGGACCTTAATCCCTCGCTTTCTGGGGAGGTTCACACCAACCCCACCCCACTGCATGAGGCCCCACAATGTGCTGTGCCAATAATCCCAGACCCCTTTCCACCATCACAAGAGGCACCACACTGAAAGCTCTCACCCAGCAGTTTTGGGACTGGTAAAGAACAGTGAATGAAGCCCAACACATCCCATATGTGTCTGATAGCATGTTGCTCGTGCTCAGTGAGCAGGGGAGATGCACACTTCCCCCCTGGGCCCACAGACCATCACATGCTCCTTTGGCTTTGGCTGTTGGCGCTTCAGATAAGCCCAAAACATTACAAAATGTGCAGGGCTCAGCAACAGGGATGCATCCGGCTGTCACTGCCAGGGCTGGAACCATCACTGCTCTGAGCAGACAGTGCTCATGACCCAGCATCAAAAACACTCCTTACTGCTCATTCCCAGCACCCTGGGTCCTCTGTCCTTCCCAGACCCCTGGCACAGTGGGGTAAGGCTGCACAACAGCCCCCGCCAGCAGCAGAGGCACAGCGTTGGTGTCTTGCCGGCACGAGACAGTGTTTGGGTTCCTGCTTGCAGATGGGCTTTGGCAGAGATAACACAGCCGGGGACAAGAAATGCCCCAAGGACAGAGACCTGGGAGAGCTGGCAGGGAGCTGCCAGGCAGCCTTCCTCCCCCAAAACAGTCAAACCCCAGCCCCACACCCAGGGGTCAGCATTATGCAGCCCACTGATGACATTCCCAGGGTCCTTTCCAGCATGTGGAGAGAAATCAAACCCTCCCACTCCCAGGGCCCTTTCCAGCCGGCGAGAAGGCCATCTCCCACTGCTCCCCTTTGACTCAGTGCCTCGCCAGGAGTCCCACAGCCCTGAGTCACCCGCGTTCCCCGGGGACTCCCTTTGATCCACCTGGGGCCGGGCACCTCCTCCTGCCCTCGCGTCGGGGCGGGGGCACAAACCCGCCCGGCCTGCTCCCTGCAGAGCCCCTGCTGGGTCCCATGGCTGGCTTTAAAGTCACGGGGATGCCGAAGCATGGGTACGGGCAATGAGCACACTGCGCCCACGGCGCACATCGGGCATCATCAGCGGGGAAAGCATAGGACGCCCGTAGCCCCAAAGGGAGGGCCAAGCGCACTGCGGGGCTCTCCCACGTACCAAAGTCACAGGCGCCACGGGAACGCGCCCACTAGCTGCTCGCCCCGCAGAGCTGTGCAAGGACACGCGTGTCCCGGCTGCGCCCCGGGCAGGGCGGGGAGCTCCGGCGGAGGGCACGGCCCCTTCCAGCGACTGTCGGGGAGCGCCGCGCACGGAGGCAGCGCCGTACCCAATGGCCGTTACGGTGCGAAGGGCGGGGGTCTCCCTACAGCCTTGTCCGAGCATTGGGATGAAGGCACGACAAGGGATCTCGACGGGAGTCTGAGGACCGCATCGCAGGCACAGCCGAGGGACACGAGACAGTGACGCGAGGGGCGGTCTGCGGCACGGCACTGAGCCGGGAAGGGCAGGGACGCGCAGCCCCCCAATGCCCGACCCGCCCGAGTGATCCCCATGCACCCGCCGGCCCCGTCCTCCCGTCCCCCTGTTGTCCCCCCGGGCCGCTGACACCGCGCAGAGCCCGCGCCGACGGCAGCACCCGCCCGCTGCCCGCGCACCGCCGGCACCGGCAGCCGCGGGGACCCTCCGGAGGACCCTCCCTACGGCCCCCGCCCCGAGGCAGCCCCTGCGGGACGGCCGCAGCACCGCGCCGCGGGCCCGCAACCGGCACACGTGGTGCTGCAGCCGCGGGAGCCGCCCCGGCCTCCACGTGTCACGGCGCGGCCGCCGCCGCTGCCGCCCGCCGCCTACCTGCAGGGGGCTACCGGCGCGCAGAGGTGGCTGGCGAGAGGCGCCGCCGCCCGCCGGTCCCCGCGAGGCGGATCCGGTCGAAGCGCCGCAGACCCCGGCCCCGACCCCGGCGGCGGGGAGCACCGCTCCGCCCCGCAGCGCCGCCATCTTGGCGCCTCCGCTCCCAACGCGGCCACTGCCGGGCGCGACACGTGACCGCCGGCGGCCCCGCACTACAGCTCCCGGCAGCCACCGCGCCGAGCCGTCCCGCCCCGCGCAAGGCACGCCGGGAGCGCACCCCTTCGCCGCCGGCACTGCGCCGCGCCATGGGGAACGCCTGGCGAGTGGGGGCGGCAGCGGCGCGAAGCGGCCATCTTGAGTACTGAGCGGCGCCGTGACTTCGCCGCCATCTTTATAGAGGGCGAGGGCTGAGGGAGCGGCCCCACCCCGTGGCGCGCGGGGGGCGGGGCGGCACGGGCGTCACTGGCGGGAAGCGCCCAATAGGGGCGGGGCGGGAGCGCGTTTTCCCGCGGTGCCGGCTCTGCTGCCCACGTGGGCGTGGGGAACCGGGCCGGGGCTGGGCGGCGGTCGCTCCTTCTCGGAGTGGGGCTTGGCCTCGCCGTCTCCGAGCGTCCCACATTATACCCCCGCTATCGCGCTGCTCGGCACCGGCCCGTGCCCGGCACTGCTACGGAAGGTGCCTCCCGTGGCCCCTCTCTGCCCTACGGTGCAAAGACGTGCGGTGTTGGACCGGTCACATCCACCCCAAAAAGCTGCGGGAGCTCCGCTCTGCCCTGTCCCCCAGCCATACGCCTGTCTTCGCAGGGGAGGTGGCTGCAGAACGATGCACGATGTTAACTGGCTACGGACGGCACGCAGCTGGTATAGGGATGCACACAAGTGTCAGACTGGGGCGTTCGGCTCTGTCCTGGTGCCCCAAGTTAAAAAAGGCTGAAGTCACTCTGGGTGCCGTCACTTCCTGAGGCTCTCCTTCAGCTCCCAGGGGTGTAGCGGCGGGCTGCGTAATGGGAGCCAGCACACAGCACGGATGTGCTCTGGGGAGCTGTGCCGCGGGATCCCAGTGGCTGTCGTGGAGGATAACATCCCGGAGGATAACATCCTGGGCTCTACATCTGCCCCGTGAGGGGAGAGACCTGTCCGGGCTGCGTTTCACTGTGGGATCACAGGACAGAGATGCTTTATTCATCCCCGTGCGCCTGGCCCCTCAGCGGGGCCCGGTCTGACAGACCCTGCTTCCTTCCCCCTGCCACAAGGGCCTTTGTCTGCGGCCGCTCTCCCCGCGTCACCCCCGCCCGGAGCAGGAGTTTGATGCTCCCCCAGCATCAAGCAGGCCGGTGGCAAGGGAGCAGCTCCCCTCGTCCACCTCCTCCTGCAGGCCCGCAGCACCTCCCAAGCCTCTCACGTCCTGCGAAAACGCAGGCACAGCCGGTCAGGTTGCTCAGCCCTGCTCCGAGGCCGCGGCCCCGCGTGGGAGCGCTCCTCTCCCAAGTGACCTCAGTCCCCCGTGCCCGCACACGCCAGGGCTCCGCAGGGCCGATGCCCCACAGCACACGTGTCGGACCGCAGCTCCGCACCGCGGCCTCCCTCCCCTGCTACGGCCCGGCGCGCGGGCGCTTTCCCGGGGCTTAACGGGAGCAGCCCGCAAAGGGGGCTCAGAGCCACGTGACGCCGAAACGCAGCGGAGAGGAGCGCGGATCCCACCCGGCCGGCGCAGGTGGGCGGGCACCGGCTCTTCCAGCAGGGACGGGGGCTCCGATCCCGCGGGCGGCGCGGCGCCGGGCGGCATCGGGAGCGGCGGCAGGGCAGGGAGGGGCCTTCCCTCTCCGCCGCGCCCCGCGGATGGTGCCGCGGCCCGGCACGGGGCAGAGCCGGACGCCGCGGGCGGGAGCGACCCCGGCGGTTACGCACGGCGCCGCGGCCCCGACATGGCGGCACCCGCCCCGGGGCCGACGTGAGGGAGGAAGGGGGCGCGCGCCCCCGTGCGTGCGCGAGCACGGCGGCGGGAAGGGGCGCGCACGCACGCACGCACGCGCGCCTCCGCGGAGGAGGAGGAGGAGGAGGTGGGGGGAGATCCCCGCGCATGCGCCGCCGCGCGCCCTCCCGCCCGCTCGCCGCCGCCGCCGCCGGCGCAGCCGCCCCCGCTCCCGCTCCGCCGCCGCGGCCCCCGCCCCGTCCGCACCCCCTCCGGTCCCTGGCGCGCTCGCCCCCGGCCGTGGCCCTGCCCGGGGCCGCGCGGGGCCGCACGCCTCCCGCCGCGCCGGAGCCCGCGGCGCGCCGTCCATGCGAGACCCCCGCGGCCCGGGCAGCGCGCAGCGACCCCCGGCCGGGCCAGGCATGTGAAGATGTCAGTGGGCTGTGCATGCCCTGGTGAGTGCGGGCGGGGCGGGCCGGGCCGGGGGGCTGCGCGGGGCCGGGCGGCCGCGGTGGGTTCTGCGGGGGGCCGCGCGGTGCGGGGCCTGGGGTCGCGGCCCCGTGGAACGGTGCCGGTGCGGAGTCCGTGTGCTGTGGGCTCTGCGGTCGCGGCCCCGTGGAACGGTGCCGGGTCTGGGGTCTCTGTGATGTGGGGCGGGTGCGGGGCTGAGCTGTGCTTTGGGGAGAGACCTCTCGGCACGGGGACCGGCTGTGGGGCCGGGTCCCGCGGCACGGGTGCTGAGGTCTGTTTACGGGGTCGGCATCCCGCAGCGGCGGCGTCGGGACCCCCTGGGTAAGGGGCCGGCCGCGGGGCCGGGGGCCCTGTGGCTCGGATGCCGCGGGCTGCTGGAAGGTTTGGGATCTCGCGTCTGGCCGCGGGGCCGGGATCCCCGTGGCACGGATGCTGAGGTCTGCGTACGGGGCCGCGACCCCGCAGCTTTGGGGTCGGGATCCCGCAGCGCGGGGCCGGCCGCGGGACCCCCGAGGCGCGGCGCTGGCGCCCTGCGGGCGGGGCGCTGCGGGTGGCACGGTGAGGGCTGACCCCGCGGTGGGGCGCGGGGCAGATCCGTGGGGCGCCCCCCGTGGGCGAGGGGAATTCCCGCTCCGTGCGCCCCGAGCGAGGGGTGGGACCTGGGGGCCTGGGAAGGGGGTGTGCCGAGGCGGTGAGGTCCTGGCGCGCTGCGGGGATGCTCGGCGGGCGGCGGGCCGGGGGGGCTGCGGGCTGGGGGGACGCCGTGTGCGGGAACCGAGCGTGGCGACGGCCCCGGAGCCCGGCGCCGGGTCCCCGGGAGGATGTTCGACGGGGAATGGAGCGTGTGCGTGGGGGGGTGGGGAACGCGCGCAACGGGGACGCTCGTTCTTTGGCTGATGGTCCTGCTGTGAGGACGGTGCCGCCCGGGCTGGCAGAGCCCCGTCCCCTCGGCCGGACCCCGCGTCCCGCGGAGCGCCCCTCGGCCCGGGGGACCGCCGGGCGGAAGGTGCGAGCGCGGCCCCGGGGCCGCGGCCCTCGCGCGTCCCCCCCGGTGCGTCCCCGCGTCCCCCCCCGCGCCGGGGGAGGACAGAAGGGGCGCCCCGCTCCCCCTCCCCGCCGCTGCCCTCCCTCCCCGCCGTGCTTCCATGCAGGCGGGCGGACCCTTCCCCCACCGCCTCCTCCATCTCCCACTGGAAGCTGCCAGAGCGCTGCTTCCTCAAGCAGAAAGTCACGTGAACCTCCTCCCAGCCAGGCCAAACAGTTAAAGCACCGACCGGCCCCGCAGGCACCGCGCACCCGGGGGGCTCGGCCCGCCTCCCCCGAGCCCCCTCGCTCCCACCGGGGCCGCGCCGCGGGGTAAATGCCGGGCCCCTCGGCGTGGGGCCACGGCGCTGGCGCGTCCCCTGGGAGCTGGCCCCGTGCCACCGGGAATGTCACCGCCATGTTGGTGGGCGACGGGGGGCCTGCAGCATCCCCGGGGGTGGCCTGGTTGTCACCGTGCCCCCCGCCTCCGCGTTTGCGTGGTGTGGATGCCGTGTGTGCGTGCACGCGTGTGTCCCCGTCCCCTCCCTGCCCGCCCGAGGCTGGTGGCACATCCAGAGAGCTCCCTGCCGCCCCCTCCCCCTCCCCTCCCTGGACTGTTTATCGGAATATAGAAAAAAAACAAGCTCTGCCGCTGGCCCGCTGCCAACCAGAAACATTTAATGAGCCGCTCTGCCCAGGCTGCTCTTTGGGGCTGCGTTAACTTGGAGGAGTTTCCTGCCTAGGAGATGCTGGTGGCAGGGGTTTCGCTCCCGAAGCGTCCCTCGGCTGTGCCCCTTCGAACTGCAGGGCTGGGGGCTGCCCGTGTCTGCGGGGGCATCGTGCCCTCGTGCTTCGACCCAGGCCTGAGGATGGAGGCTGGGGACTCTGAGGGTGCACTGAGGATGGTGCCGGGCGGCCTTGCGGGCAGTGCCAGGCAGTAAATAACGCTGCATTTTGGGCTGGCAGAGTGCAGAGCCTGTACCTGGCACTGTGCTGCCATCCTGGGCCCACACTCAGCCCTCTCGGCACCTGGAGCTCGGTGCAGCGGGCTTTTGAAAAACAAGCAACAACAACAAATAGCGAGAAGAAATGATGGTGATGTTTTCTGCCATAGTAACAGTGCTGGTGCCGTGGGGCCCTCGGGGAAGGGGAGCAGAGAGCGAGGCCTGCTCCCTCCTCCCACGCAGCCCTGCTGTGCCCTGTGCGGGGCTCCCAGCTCCCCTCCCTGCAGGCCTGGCTGCGGCCTCTCGCAGCGGGGAAGCGGCTTGCCCAAGGTCAGCGGGCAGCGGGTTGGCTGAGCTGGGAACAGAGCCCCGGGCTGGCAGCAGAGCCCTGAGCAATACTGCCCATCGCTGTGCCGGCTTGCACGGAGCCCTGCGGGGCTTTGGGCCCTGGGGTGTGAGGTTTGGCAGCCCTGGTGGGGTGTGTCTGGTGCAGGCAGTGTGTCCTGGGGTGGGTTGTGTGGACAGGGGGAGGACAGCGGTGTCTCTGTCTGGGGGTTCCTCCCTCCTACCGAGCTGAGCCATGCTGCGAGCCTCCTGTGACAGATGCTTGAGGAAGGGATGGCAGAGTGCAGGCTGAGCGCCGACAGCCAGAGCCCATGTGCTGCAGCTCCAGTGTGGGGACCACGGCACCCCCAGGTACACCCAAGGTTGTAGGAGTCCTGCTGCCCCTGGCCCCTTGCCCTAATTCCTGCATAATTCCTCAGGTCTCATCCTGCATGAGGCTGAGCCCTTCTGCCCTGCGGCAAAAGCTCCAGATGCTTTGAAATCTGGACTGCAAATGCGGCCTGTCCCTCCTGCTGCCCTTTGAAAGCCCCCAGGGCTCTGCTCCCAGCTCCATGAGCCATGTCGCTGCCTGCAAATGCTGCTGAGCAATGGAAGAAACTACCCTTGGTGGGACCCCGTAGCCAAGGCCATCGGTGCAGCCCCTGTGTTCTGGCACCTATGCCAAGTGGTAGTAACTGCAAGGGAGAGGCATGCTGTCGCTGCTCTCCCCACCCTGCCACAAACTGATAGAGCTGTGGGGGAGAGTCTGTGCATCTTTTGTTTTCACCTTGCTGGTGATGGGAGATGGGATGGGAGATGGCATCTACCCCTCCACCTGATGGATGCTGTGTGTGCCGTCCCACCCTCTTGGGGCCGGAGAGAGCAGGGGGAGTTAGCAGCTGCCCCATGCTCACCTCGGGATCTGCTTATTAGGATGGTAAATTGGGGCCTAGGGCTCTCTGCAGGCACGTGGCACGGCTCCTCTGCACCCGTGTGAGCTCACCCTGCTGCCAGCTCTGGTTTGTTGGGGAAAGCTGTGATGGGTTAACCAGCCAGCCCAGTGCTGGGTGCCTGTCGGCCGCGCTCCGAGTTTATTCCAGAAATGGTATTGTCTGTTCCTCCTGTGCCAGCACGGAGCTGCTCTGAAAGCCGATATGTTGGGGGCAGCCCCAGGGGGGTGAGGGGGTGCTGGCAGCAGGATGGGCCCCCGGGGCAGTGCCTGGCTCCCGAGCACGTGAGGTGCTGCGGTGCTGGGCCTGAATGCCCTGGGCAGGGCAGGAACACTGAGCTACGGCACCAGCATCCCCTGCCTGTCCCCTGCACCTCCAGCTCACTTTCCTGTCTCGACTTCATGCCACCTTCTTGCCTTTGCTGTGGGATTCCCTTGGCCACATCCGCGTTGCTTGCACATGAGGACGCACGCATGTGCATGGTGCTGGGGGCCTCCTTTGCACGTGGTTTGGGCGCATCCTTTTGCTCTCTCCGTCTGGAACTGCAAATCTTGCTGGTGGAGTGAGGAGCAGGGAGTGGTGGTGGGTGTTGGGAGCAGTGTGCTGGGTGCCCCCTGGCCGGCCCCTGGGGAGGCAGGCTGGGGCCAGGCGACCGTTATCAGGCAGCCTGCAGGGCTGAGCTGTGGTTTCCTGCTGTTGCTGGAGGGGGAGGGCGTTGTGGAACTGGTGGGGTGGTGAGCCTGCTGCTGACCCCACCTGGAGCAGGGAGGGTGGCTGTTACCCCCAGAACTGGAATGGGGCTCTGGGGTGGACAAAAGTACTGCTGATGGTTTTTTAGTTGGGGAACAGCATGCTCACTGTGATGTGGGAATATGATTGTGCACGTGGGCTATGCACACCTAACCACGCAGGCGTGGATGCTGCTGTGTGCCAGGACACCTGCCGTGGGCACGGGTACCTGCAGGAGCACTGTGCTCCATCCCACCATGCCAGCAGGCACCAGGATAGACAACATCCCACAGGAGCCCTCACATGTGGCTCTCTGCTGCCATTTGTCCCCATCCTTCCTAAGCAGGTTGCTTCCAGGACAAACACAAACGTTAGACCAGGGAGTAATCTCCCGTGCCAC